TCTCTCTCTCTCTCTCTCTCTCTCTCTCTCTCTCTCTCTCTCTCTCTCTCTCTCTCTCTCTCTCTCTCTCTCTCTCTCTCTCTCTCTCCATCCAGCACACAACTGGAAGAGACTACAAAGCGATACTACTCTTGACACGTCCATCTGGGCCGTGCGAATGCACGCCATCACATCCCCCAACCTCCACATGGGGCGCCGACACCCCCGCCGTGTGGCATGAGCCGCCCCTTGTGCATTGCGACCGCAAGCCACCGACGCCCATCAACCTGCCGACTGCGCGCTTTGTCACTGTGCAACCGACCCCCGACGCACCCGACGACGCGACATGACCCGTCTTGTACACGACGCCAACCTGAACTGTGGTTCTCTACCCCGCCCCATCCTTGTCGTCACACGTTGTTTTGTCGTCATCGTCCTCCGGGGGGCCAATGCCCAACCATTCGAGTTTTTTCACGGCCATCAATGACGGAAGAGTGGCGTCATGACCGAACGTGATCCCGCAGTCAGCCCAGTCCGAGATGTACAGAGGAGGGTTCGCCAACGTCATGGCGGGTTCCCCCATCCTCTCCGTCACGACGGTGGCTGCCCGAAGGATTTGGCGACCAGCATCGAAACACCAATACATGGCCGCCACCAGTGTGGGCTTCGCGGTGAGCTGCACGAACAATGACGCATCGAAATGGAAACATAGATCGTCCCCGCTCATCCTCATCAGCCACATAGACACTGTGAGTAGAAGCCTCATAGCGCCGGTGATGTTCCTTAGCGTTGCGTAGGAGATGTGCCCCCCATCGACCCCCTCCGCCAGACTGACGGCGCTAGTGAAGGCGCTCACCAAGCGCTGCACGGTCGCCTCTTGGTAGCATGCCAACTCGTTGTCCTTGTCCCAGTCCTCGATGTGCGCGCCGACGAACCAAACGGAGAGCTTCATGTCCATCTCCAGTGTGATGTGGCAGATAGTGGGGCTCACACACGTGCACCAGTCCTCGCCAAGCCACATGACGCGGGTCATGTCCGTCGCCTCATGGTTGAGGACGTACCCGTATGCAGAGTGTTAGCCCCGTGAGCGACTTGCGGACTTGAAGATCCATCCATGGATGACACGCAAGGTGATGCTCTGCACTTTTGTTGCCCTGTCTTTCGCCGCCTTCAACTGCAATTCGTCTTCGATCTTGTGCTGTGAGATAATTGAGTGAGGGAGGGCTATACTCCGATGGATCTCCGGAGTGGGAACTCCCCTGGTGATGGCCAGCAAATAAAGTCGCCCGTCCTGGATGACCTTGAACAGTCCATTGCCCTCCGTCTCGTTCCAGAACCTCATGTCATCCACCCACAACTTCGTTGCAGCTTCGATCACATCCTGTGCATTCCCCCGCCATTGCCTATTCACCAAATGCTCGTCGTAGTCGCCTTCCCCATGGCTCTCCTCGGCTGCTGCAACCGCCGTTGGTCGAGATGATCCCGCCACGGCACCGCCCTGCGAGGCGATAGGGTCTTGTCGATGTGCACCATGGCTACTCCCTTGCACCACCCCCTTCGAGGCCCCTCCCTTCTCCGGAACTGCTTGGCCACGTGGTGTGGCTGGGGGTGATTGCACCTGCGCAGAATCTTGCGCTTCAGGCGGCGCAGTCACATGTGTCCTCGCAACGCCCCCCCCTGCGCGCCGTCTCCGGAGCAGCATCCAGTTGGACCTCCCTCGGCGCGTGACCAGCGTCCACATCAATAACGACGTCAACCTTGTGAGCCCCCTCCTCGCAGCGGGGTTGGGGAGCAGATTGAGGTCGCAACTCGTTTATTCGAACCGTCCCTTGTGCAAGCATGGCGGCACAGACGCTTGCCTGACGGCTTCCACCTCCGTTTCGGACACGAAGTCGTTGTCGTCGCCCGCACCCTCGAAATCCCTCACCCACTCGTCATCCCTCGCGGCACTTCCCCTCGAAGGGCCCTCTGCAACAACCTTCTTGTTTTTCGGTTGATGACGTCCTTTCTTCACGGCCACAGGCGCTTCCGCTTCCAAGTTGTCCCTCTTCTTGCCCCGATTACCACCGAGTGAAGACATGGTGAAGACGGCGAGCACGATGACGGAGAGCGACAACGGTGTGAAGTGCGCAATCGGATGGCCTGCGTAGGTGACGTGTCCGGGGCAGCGACGTGTGTTGAAAACGCCCTGTTCGCGCAGCCCAGCAGGGGAGAAGACACCGTGTTGATCCGCGGCAACACGACGACGAGGACGGTAGACTGGCGACAGGTCCTTGCACAGATCACCAGGCGCAGATGGTGGGAGACACGATTGGGGGCGATGGGATGCCACATGTGGCGAGGTCGCACGACGCCGAGGTTTGTGGTTTGCTAACGGTGACAATAGCTGGCGAGTGTGCACACGGACGACGAATGACGCGTTCCCAATGTTGCGTAGCGCGAAGATCCACGCAGGTGAGTATCGGTTGTGCAAGCGACCCATAATTTATGCCCTTTGCACATTGTATGATCTTGGCGTGAGCAGCCCCCATCGATTGCCTTCGGCTGCTCAACATATATGGACAAGCGATAGCGACACGTCTACCTCGACTGTCGTGCAGCAGGGCCTGAGCGTCCACCAGCGCGTACGCACCCTCATCGCAGACCACTTTGGTCGCTTGATCTGCAGTCATCCATTTTGGAGCCCATTCGACATTGCGGAAGACAAAGGGACCCCGCGCGGTGGTCCCTGCAAGTGCCACCCGACACCACCCCACTACACCCAACGATGGACGCACCGTATCACCCCGTGCGACTGCCAGCAAAGATAAGCCCAGCCACCGTGCTCCCACGAAAAGAGGACACGTACCCGGCCCGCACCCCCC